CTATGGCTGCCTTCGTACGAGCAACGTCTTGCCGGCGAGCAGTCATGAGCCAGTACATGGACGGCGTCCCAGTGTGCTGCAGAGAGCTGCAGGGCAGAGCTACAGCAGGAGGTGAAGAAGTAGCAAGCTGTGACAACTGCGAGCGCCGTACGGCTGAGGAGCAGGAGCAGGAGCAGCAGCAGCAGCAGCAGCCCGGCAGCGGGCAGGCAGCGTGGCAGGAGGCCACCCAGCTGCAGGCTGTGCAGGAGCAGCTGGTTTGCGCAAAGCTAACAGAGCTCGCCCAGTCTACCTGCCCGTACTGCTGGGCCATCCTGCACGAAGTGTTTGACGGCGAGAGGAGGAGCAGCGTACGGGAGGCAGAGGAGCAGGAGATGTGGCACAGCATCTGGCAGTGCCCGCGGCTCAACGGGGCGCAGAGCGTACGGGAGATGGATGAGGTCCGCAGGTGGGTGCGCTACCGTACAGAGGACAAGATGTGCTGGAAGTGCGGCGTCACGCAGGAGCTGTGTGAAAAGGGAAGGGGAAAGGAGATAGAGAGCAAGCAAGGAGGGGAGTGCCTGTGGGCTAACGTGGTTGTGCCTGTGCTGTACGGGTTGCGGGAGGCTGGCAGAGCCAAGGCGCAGATAGAAGGCAGCGAGGCGTGCCGTACGACAACCGTGCTTGGCCGGGCAGGGTACAGGGAGGGGAGGGAGGAGAGAAGCAGTAGGAGCAGCCACAGCAATAGTAACAGCAACAACAACGGCAACAGCAACGGCAACAGCAACGGCAACAGCAACGGCAACAGCTACAGCCGCACAAGGGCATTTGGAAGCTGGATTGGAGCTAGCTGTGCAGGAGGGAGAGTATTAGGAAGAAGAGCAAGTAAAGGCTTTCAGGTAGTTGTAGAGGCAGTACTTAAGGAGGAGGAGAAGGAAGAAGAAGAGAAGAGTAAAGAAAAGGCAGAGTAAGAGGTAAGTATATATAGTAATATTAAGTTAGTACTAAAGTATTATATTAAAGAAGAAGTAAGAGAAGGGAAAAAAGAAGAGAAAATAGTAATTTAAATTAAAAAAGCTAACCTAAACTATCACTAAGTGTCCTACATTACTAAGTGTCCTAAAACTTGCTAAGCCCTCTACCTACTCTCTCTCTCTAACATGCCTTAACTACTAAACGCGTTATTACTTAAACATAAAGGGAGGCTTTAGCTTGCTATTAAAGCCTTGAAATCTAGACAATTCTAAAGCTACTAGGCTGCTGCAGAGGCATTTAACGTTAATCGCTATACACTCTCTTATTGCGTCTAAGGACTCATATTTCGCGCAGAAGCTGCCCCTAACTGCTAGAAGCTTACTGCGACTAAACAGTAGACGATTATCTAATACATACTTAACCTTAACTTGCGAGGATTTGCGCCCCAGCTGTGCGAGGTGGCAGATATGGCTGATAAACTGCTGGCTGTACGCGGTGGCAAGCCTATTAGCAAGTGCTAGGCTGATCGCTTTGTAACGCGCTTGCCTGAGCTTAAAACAGCCTTTAATTAAGTAAAGGATAGGTAGAGAATACTCTAGGAGGATCTAGAGATAATTAGCGCGTGGTTTAAGCTAGTAGAGGAGACTAAAGCTAAGTATAGCGTCTATAATAATAATATGCACAACTTTAATAAGACTAGCTTCTAGATAGGCGTAATTAGCTCTATAAAGCTTGTCACAGGTGCAGAGAGACGCGCCTGACCTGCGCTTGTTTAGCTAGGCAATTGCGAGTGGGTTACAGTTATCTAGAGCATCTGCGCTGCTGGGTACGCGACCCTGCCCTTCATTATCTACAAGGGACGCGTCCACATCTCTGCCTGGTACAAGGAGGCTTTAATACCGCGTAATTAGAAGCTCTTAGTCTCTAAGAACAGCTGGATAAACAACGCCCTTAGTCTAGAGTGGTTAAAGCACTTTAACGCGCATACAAAGACGCGCTAGGTGGGGGGGGGTACTAGCTGCTTATTTTAGACAGCTATAAGAGCTACCTTAACTAGCATTTCAAGGACTACTACCTTAAACACAAGATCCTAACCCTCTGTATGCCCCCCCATTCATCGCACATCCTCTAGCCGCTTGATGTGGTCTGCTTCTTGCCACTAAAGCGCAGGTACTCCTAGCGCGTTAGAGACTTAGCACGCCAACACGTCTTCTATATTAACAAAGAAGGCTTCCTCCCTGCCTTTAAGGACGTGTTTTTTAATATGTTTACAGAGCAGAACTATTAAAAGGCTTTTAAGGCAGTAGGGCTAGTCCTAATTAACGCGCAGGTTGTATTAGATTGCCTTAAAGTGTGGCTGTGTACCCTGCTAGAACCCCTCCTCCTAGAGATGCTATAGTAGTTAAAGACTCTACAGGGACTGTGCACATCATGTAGACTGGCGGATGGGTACCATGTACCTAGGGTAGGGTATAGGTAGGGTATAGGTCGCACGGACGTAGGTATAGGTAGGGGAGGGTCGCACGGACCATAGGTATAGGTAGGGGAGGGTTACACGGACCATAGGTAGGGGAGGGGAGCACGTGACTGGGGATAGGTATAGGTAGGGTAGCACGTGCTAGGTATAGGTTTGGTTTGGGTATATTACTAACCTAGTTTGTATACAACTAACCCTAGGTTGTACTAGTAGATTCTTTCGCATACACAATACTTAGAAGAAAAAGCATCTATAATTTATTATCACAGTCTATTATCACATACTTATGCTCTAAAGTATACAATAGTACAAAGTCTAGAGTAGTAACCTAGATTTTGCTAATAACTACCCATTCCTAGACCCTACCTAGCTACCCTACCTATACCTATACCTAGTCACGTGCTACCCTACCTATACCTATACCCAGTCACGTGCTACCCTACCCAAACCGTTTGGGTAGGGTACCTCATGTACCCTACCTAGTTCCTACCCATAAATCACGTGACTATACCTATACCCTACCCTACCCTACCCATCCGCCAGCCTAACATCATGCACGGATTCACATCGTGCACGCAAAAACCACCTTTAGCAACCACAAAAATAAGACTATAGAGCCACACACAAAAGCTATTATATTGAGATTTTTTTGTTGTAACAGTCTACTAACGCCTATGATGCTTGTCCTGCTCCCATTTTCTATTTAGTCGCGTGGTGCGGCCGCTGCGTGTAGTAATTGGTGGAGGTGTTAGGGAAGGTGACGCCTTAACTACAACCTGAGTAGCGCCACGCGCACGCTGTTTTTTAGCTAGAGGTTCTGTAGGTGGCTTCTGTGAGGCCTTGCGCTTGCCTGTTTGGGATAGTTAGATAGATTTAGCAGCGTCGCTCTCTTGTTTTTTTTATTGTTTCTTAGCCTTCTTAGCAGCCTTCCTAAGGGCTTTCTCTTCCTTTGCCCTTGCTTGTTCCACCTTCTGCTGCTCCTTCTCCCGCTTATCTTGAACCTTCTTCTTAGCTGCCTCTGCCTTTTTGCAAGCCTTTGCAGCAGCTTCCTCAGCCTGTTGGCGGGTATTTTGACGCAGTTAAGCTTAGGCTTTATCCACCTTTGTTAGAGACTACAACATCGCGTTAGAAGTATAGGACTTAGAGGCCTGTAATGGTAGGGCTTGGTAGTACCTCTAAGAGGTCTTCTAGGTGTTAATTTAGTTGTGGAGGCCTTTGTTTTCTACCTCTAGAAGGGCGTTGTGAGCTGCTAAGTAGTTAAATGTGCAAACTAGCTTCCTTGCCTCATAACTTGTAGAGTCCTTCACTATTGCCTTGCAAAACTGTTCTATCGCGACCCTATTAACGTTAAGTAATAGAGATAGAGTTCGCGGAAGCTCACTTGGCTTGTTCTAAAACCTGTCAAGTATAATAGCTGGGTTTAGTAGTGAGATGCCTGTGGCTTTGAACGTGGCCAGCACAAGCTCACTGTTAAACATTTTGTACTAGGAGGCTTAGAAAAGCTTGTAGAAATAACGCATTTTAATGCTAGTCAAGACCTAGCTCTAGTAGAGTTGTTTAGTGACTTCTTTAGAGTAGTTGTTGCCAAAAGGTGAGAAGCAACCTACATCAAGCGGCTGCAACGTCTGAGTACTGTGAGGTAGATAGATAAGTAGTAGAATCTTGTGGCGACTACAATAGTTGATAAAAGCTATTGTTATGTGAGAGCTGTGGCTGTTAAGTATGAGTAGGCGCTAACTACCGCGAGTTTTACTTGCAGTTTCCCGCTCAAACACCTGTTCAAGCCAGGCAAGACTAACCTCGTCGTTGGACTAGCTAGAGGGCGTTGCAGTAGAGTATATAGAGTCTTTGCCTGCGTCCAGGTCCTCCATCCAGGAGGATTGTAGACTGTTTGGCTGGCCTGCATATATGATGGCTGGCGGCAACATTGAACCGTCAGCGCAGATAGCTGCGAGAATTGTTACCCACTCTCTATTGCCATCCTGCAAGCTTTGGCGTTTGCCTCCGGCTTCCCAAGCTGCCTTACTAAACACCCTTTTGCTCCTATTCACCAATCTAATCGCTAGGCCCTTCTCATCCATATTGTACGTGTGCCGTGGCTTAATAGAGTATTGGTTGATCTTAGAACGTAGTAGGTTAAAATAGTATAAGTACTTTTCGCTATCGTTAGCGTTGTGACGTAAGGCGTCCATAGTGGAGGTCTATTTGTATAGGAGCTCATTGGGGTGACGGTGCAGGAACCTAGTAACCCAGCTATCTCTAACGTACTGTTGGGGCATTTCTGACGCAAAGTTTTGCACTATTTGCCTTGTAGGTGGTAGCCCTTGCTCTGTAAGCTTATTTATATAACTAACAAGCTTATACTCTTGTTGTGGGTTAAGCTTTTAACGTGTAGAGTTGCCTTCTTCACGCGACGCGTATACGCGTTAGTGCCGCCGCAACAGCGTAGATCGCGACACTAAGCTTTGGTCAGCAATTTTGGTATAAGAAAGTTCACTAGCTGCATCTGCTCTGTCACAGGCTTTAAGCGCAGCTTCTAAATCCATGCCGTTGTGAAGTTATGGTGTTGAGGAAATTGGCACGTTATGGAGTTCGCGTGCACGATGTGAATCCGTGCACGATGTGCACGGTCCCTGTAAGCAATACCTATAAGTTTAGATCTTAATTAAAGCTTGTACGCAATTCCTTTACTTGCTTGCCTGTTACAGCTTAGGCTAGTTTCTCCTAGCTTATAAAAGGTGGTGAGCTAGTGCTATATAAAAATGCGCTTTAACGTGCTTAGATCTATAAGCTTAAAGAGCAATTAGTAGAGATAACTAAGCGAAAATTGCGTAAGCGCAAGCGGATTTAGTAGAGTGGTACTATGGAGTATAGGACTGCTGCAGCGCAGGTAGCTGCTGAGGCATCTATAGCGCCTTAGCAATCCAAGAAGGCTTGTGGTGGTAGTGGTCAAGAACTAGCCTAACTAGCTCTTCAGCACTATAGGAACTGTGGTAGGACTAGGCATAATGCGTAAATGTGTAAAAAGGATATAGAGGTGTCCTTAGAATTAGATGCTAGTACAACATACACAGGCTCCCTATTTAATAGCAATAAAATTAAGGAGTTGTAGTATAGGTTAAGGCTACTAAGAGATTTAAGGACACTTAGTGATGTAGGACACTTAGTAATAGTTTAGGTTATAGGAGATTCTATTCTATTGCTAAAGAAGGTCTAAAGAAAGGAAAAGCTAGTATAGAATATATAGAAGCTAAAGAGTATTAGACTACAGCTATAGCTACTATAGTAAGCAAGCTAAAAAGGTATTACAACTTATATTAATAGTAAGTTGCTAGCTAGAATAGTACTTATTATTATCTATCCTAACTTAGTTAGGCTATAGCCTAATATTATCTTCTTCTTAGGGATAACCTAGCCTACCTAAGAGGATACGCAAGAGTAGGGGTAACTTATACTAAAGTTAGTTTAATGTTAGGGTTTCTTAGCTATAAATAGTAACTTTACACCCCTAACTTGTTTAGCTAACTTATTAATAATATAAAAACTTTTTATTAATATTATTATTAGAAATACTTTCTATCTACTATTAGTATCTTTTAATAAAGTAGTAGCACAATCTAAGCTATTTAGCGTGGTATTAGGGATAGAGTTATGCTAGAACTTACAATTATCTACAACAGACACTAGTTAGATAACAATAACAATAATAGCAGACAGCACGCCTGCGTATTAAGCACTGCACTTGCACAATGCAACTAGAGATGCAATTAGCTATCTAGCTAAGCACGCTGTTATTGTCTGCAAATAACACGCTACAGCAGTACAGAATTTAGACGCGCATCTGCGCGATCATCACAATGCGCCAAAGAAGCTACGCAGGGAGATTGTAGCAAGTTATTAGGGCAGGACTGTTTTACAGCCGAAAGATGTGATGCTGCCCTGTCTGCTAGGCCTGCTAATTAAAGAGCTAGGAGAGCTGCTTAATAGCTTTTAGTGTAGAGAGGAGGACTGCAGCTTTATTACAATTAATATTAACACAGTGCGCATACACTATAAGAAAGAGCATAAGCTGCTGTAGAGAGGCAATAATAATGCGCTATATTAGAGAGTTAAGGTGCAGATATTCTTCTGCACTAGTAGGCTGCAGCACTATTTTATTATTAATGCAGGAGACAGCAGCATAGGAGATAGCAACAGCGTGCTATCTACCCCCTGCAATATAGCAGACAACATTAAAAGAGAGATAGCTAAGTAGGAGACAGTATAGAAAGAAGAAGAGTAGAGGATTTAGCTTATAGACATAGCTGTGGCAAAGACAGATTAGACAGGCTAGTTTAAGCGGACAGGCTAGCTAGAGCATTTTGCAGGCCGCAATCTGGCACATCTTGCGCATCAGGCCCAGCTGCCCGATCAAGGCGAGGTAAAGCTGCAGCTAGCTGCAACACTAGTTGAGGGGCTTGTAGAGAGGAGCGTACTGGGGCTGTTAACGCTAGACTAAGAGTTAAGACAGTGGTTAAGGAGTGCAAGGTGTGACAACCTAGACCTGCGCCTGCTTGCTTAACTGCAGAACACAGAGAGTTAGGCTTGCTACGCAAGCTACATAGTCAGGTTTATGTGCTACTTTCTACGCATTATTGCTAATAAGGAGGCCTAAGCTACACAACAAAGTAGAAGTAAGGCAAGTAATAATAACAATAATAATAATAAGGAAAGGTATAATAATAATAAAGAAGTAGAAGAGGAAGAGGATAGAGAGGACAAAAGTAATTATAGTAGTAATATAGACAGCACTGCATGTAGCTTATAGTTAGTACTATTAGTATAGTTAGCACAGTTAGCATAATTAGCACAATTAGGAGAGTTAGAAGACAAGGCTAGAGGTAATAGCAGCAGCTGTTGCCTGCAACGCAGGAAGAAGAAGATAGACTACATAAAGGATGCGCGCGAGCTGTTCTGCTAGCAAGGCTTGCAGCACTTGTGGGCAATGCAGCTGTAGGACACTTTAGAAGGTGGCAATTAAGGTGCTTAGATGCAGGGATTGCTTAACATGCTTACAGCGTTCTTCTTTGCTTTAATAGGCAGTAAACTGCTTAGCAACAGGCTTATTTACTTTCTTGCTGTGCTAGGTATTAACACAGAGCTAGGCTGCTTGCGCATAGCAAAGAACTACTTATACATGCTTGCTAGTGTGGTGTACTGCGTGCGCGTGCTTAGCGTAGAAAAGCTTCTGCTGCATGCGTGCTACAATAAGTAGACTAACAAGGACTAGTAGCAGTTCTTAATAGCAAGAAAGCAGTATCTAGCTAACAGCTCATACAGCCTGATGAGCGAGACAATCAACATGCTGGCATACAGCAAGCACGTCACGCTGGCAGCAGGCAACGCAGGCAATGCGTACTAGTCACAGGACAAGAAGATATTCTACTTGCACAGCTAGCAGGTCTACGTTAGCTGCTTTTAGAAGATGGCGCAGGACATAGTCACAGAGGCAGAGCAGGTGCTGTGGTAGGAACTGTGCTAGGTAGTAAGGAAAGAAGAACAGTTTACTATTAAGCTAGAAAAGGTTATTAATAATATCTTATTTATAAAATACTAACCTAAACTATCACCGAGTGTCCCACATCACCGAGTGTCCCAAAACTTGCCAAGCCCTCTACCTACTCTCTCTCTCTAACATGCCTCAACTACCAAACGCGTTATTACTTAAACATGAAGGGAGGCTTCAGCTTGCTATTAAAGCCTTGAAATCTAGACAATTCTAAAGCCACTAGGCTGCTGCAGAGGCATTTAACGTTGATTGCTGTACACTCTCTTGTTGTGTCTAAGGACTCACATTTCGCGCAGAAGCTGCCCCTAACTGCTAGAAGCTCACTGCGACTGAACAGCAGACGATCATCCAATACATACTCGACCTTGACTTGCGAGGATTTGCGCCCCAGCTGTGCGAGGTGGCAGATATGGCTGATAAACTGCTGGCTGTACGCGGTGGCAAGCCTATTAGCAAGTGCTGGGCTGATCGCTTTGTAACGCGCTCACCTAAGCTCAAAATAGCCTTCAATCAAGCAAAGGATAGGCAGAGAATACTCTAGGAGGATCTAGAGATAATTGGCGCGTGGTTTAAGCTAGTGGAGGAGACTAAAGCTAAGTATAGCGTCCACAATAACAACGTGCACAACTTTAATAAGACTAGCTTCTAGATAGGCGTGATTGGCTCTATGAAGGTCGTCACAGGTGCAGAGAGACGCGCCTGACCTGCGCTTGTTCAGCCAGGCGATCGCAAGTAGGTTACAGTTATCTAGAGCATCTGCGCTGCTGGGTACGCGACCCCGCCCTTCATCATCTACAAGGGACGCGTCCACATCTCTGCCTGGTACAAGGAGGCTTTAATACCGCGTAATTGGAAGCTCTTAATCTCTGAGAACGGCTAGACAAATAACGCGCTTAGTCTAGAGTGGTTAAAGCACTTTAACGCGCATACAAAGACGCGCCAGGTGGGGGGGTACTAGCTACTCATTTTAGACGGCCATAAGAGCTACCTCAACCAGCATTTCAAGGACTACTGCCTTGAACACAAGATCCTAACCCTCTGTATGCCCCCCTATTCATCGCACATCCTCTAGCTGCTTGATGTGGTCTGCTTCT